AGTAGGGTCTTGGGGCTAACATTTGTTGGTATATGTACATGTATTTATACGAGAAATATTAATGAAAATTATAACAACATATCTTTGGCCTAAGGTAAAATAGCTAGTAATATCTTTTAGTGCTTCTTTTATCCTATGAATGGGCACCTGTATTTGTGAAGTTTTTATAGGTGTCTTATTTAAATCTTTTAAATGGGTAATGTTAGATTTGTAAAAACACTGGGGGGGGGGGCAATAAACTATACAGTAGCGCTTCCTCAATAAAAAAAAAAGACGCCTGTGACCTTTATTATTACTTGTCAAGGGATTTCTGTTGGATTGTGCCCCCCCCCCCACCCACCCTCTTTACCTAAGGTCAACTTTTTTACATAGAGTAAAATCAATGCCTTGTACTATGAATTTTCATCAGTATTTCTGGTATAAATGCTTATACCAAATCAAGGATCCTACAAAAATGCCCCCTTTTTGACGTTATATAAGCCTTAATCTCTCCCCCGTCAAAAAAAAAATATTTGAATTATTTTCCTGCAAAGAAATGTGGCATGGGAATTAAATGTTTCATATTTAAGAAGAAATACCCCTTCCTCCTTTTTATTTCTTCCTAGTCTTCACCGTACAATTTTTGTCATTATTGTAATATTCTTGCTATCATAGGATTTATTCAACCATTGTATTTAAGATATTAAAGACAACAAAACAGGCAGTATTATCTATGAGCAGTGGCAGTTGGCAGTAAGCAGCTGGCAGTTGGCAGTAAGCAGTGAGCAGTCGTATATGGAATTACATAGGTTAGCGAAAAGGAATATAACTAATTTAAACTTCTGTAGAAAAAATCTCTAGAATATCAAACAATAAAAGTAGTCCATTAAAGTTAAAAAATAAATCTTTGTTGTTGGAACAATTAAGGGCTCTCCATACATTATTTTCCCATCTTACAGGAGACCACTAAAATGTCTTTATAATTGTGCATGAGTTATTATTACTTTAAAGTTTATTAAATTATTACAGTACGACATGATTTAAATATAATTTTTTCATGATTCCTCGCCTTGTATTATACATGTCATGTACAAAATAAAATTGATGCAGATGATTTACTGATTTCAACAATTAATATTTCTTTAATTTATAAAACATTCTCAGATCTAATATTTTCAGTGCATTGGGGAAATATGAACCTAAGCATGTATATATAATTTTTTAAATTGTTGTTAAGAAGAAAATTGGTTTGTTTACGGGGGGGGGGGGTTCAAATTGTCTCCCTTGGTGTGTATAGCACATATCTATTAGACTGAGAAACATTTATTTCTACGAAAAGCCTCTTTTGCTATGTTGATTAATATGCAATTTACTAATTATTATAAAGGAAAATATTCTGTTGCAATTTTAAACTGTGCTCACCCTTATGAACCATGCATAATTTCAACATACAGCTAGGTTTAGAAAAACGGCTGCTAAAAAAAAATAAAGAAAAAGTTGCGTGCCAGAAAATGGAACGAGAAATTGTGGCTTTACTAAAAAAAAAAGATAAATAATAATAATAATAATAATAATAAAACAATGATACTTTTAACAGCTGTTTAATGATGTGTAAAGATTTTTTTTTTTAAAAGTAAATAAACTTTATGTGAATACAGTTCACCCCACCAAATCTAAGAAAAGAGTCATTCCTCTTTGCTCACTGACACTCCTCAAATGTAAGGAATGCAAAGTTAACAATATTTTGATATATCGTCTGTCAATATCAAGGTACGTACAGTTAAATTCAGTAAAATTATCAATTAATAAGTGGTGTGCAATATTTTCAATACTAGCTGATATCGGTATATTGCAAAGTGGGAGTTCATAACAATATTTGGTGTGCACTGTTTTTAGGATAAATACGAGTAAAGTAAAATAGGATATAGATAATGAATATATACCGGTATAAAGTGAAATGTTTGATAGGATATAATAAATATGTACAGTGTACCGGTATATAGTGAAGTGTTTAATGGGATATAACAGATCTGATGTAATGGGGTACAGCTGTAAGCAAGTGCGTACCGGTGTATAGTGATGGGATTAATAGGATATAACAAATACGTACCGGTATAAAGTGAAGTGATATACGATACCGGTATATAGTGAAGTGATATATGGTACCGGTATATTAATATATAGTGAAGTGATTAATTTATAAGAATACTTTTACCGGTGAGAACCTCGGTTAAGGTCCCTAGGCTCCTTATATACGTTATAAAAATATATCGTCGTGAACCTTTTGCATGCTGTAGTAATAACAGAAATGAACCGGTGTATAATGAAGTGATAAAGGTGCAGTGAAGTGGTTAGTAGGATATAACAAATATGTACCGTATATAGTAAAGGGATTAATAGGATATAACAAATAGGTACCGTATATAGTGAAAGGATTAATAGGATATAACAAATAGGTACCGTATACATGTATACTGAGTAGTGAAGGGATTAATAGGATGTAACAAATATACCGTATATAGTGAAGGAATTAATAGGATGTGGCAAATATGTACCGTATATAGTGAAGGGATTAATAGGATATAACAAATATGTACCGTATATAGTGAAGAGATTAATAGGATGTAACAAATATACCGTATATAGTGAAGGAATTAATAGGATGTGGCAAATATGTACCGTATATAGTGAAGGGATTAATAGGATATAACAAATATGTACCGTATATAGTGAAGAGATTAATGGGATGTGACAAATATACCGTATATAGTGAAAGGATTAAAAGGATGTGACAAATATGTACCGTATATCCTAGTAGTGAAGGGATTAATAGGCTGTAACGAATGTTTACCGTAAAAAGTAAAGGGATTTAAAGGATATAACAAATATGTAACATATATAGTAAAGGGATAAATAGGATTTTACAAAAATGTACCGCATAAAGCGAAGGGATTAATAGGATATAACAAATATGTATCGTATATAGTAAAGGGATTAATAGGATGTAACAAAAATGTACCGATGTTGTAAAGTGACACTTCCCTAATAGTAGCCCCCCCCCCCGGGGGGTGGAGGAGATTAGCTATATAATAAGACTTCCCTCGAATAGTTCTTTTCGGTCTTGTCTCACCATATAGCCAGTCTTTCGGGAAGGGGGAGGGGTTCTCATTGTATAGTCAGTCTTGCGGGGGTGGGGGTGGGGAGGTCTCACTGTAGCCAGGCTGCCTTGGGATGACTCACATTTGTTTAAAACCGTTGAGCTATGACCCGGAGATACTAAATTTTTAGAAAATGCAACATTTATACCAAATGACTCATCTAGCCACATTTCATGGCATCTTTTACAATGTAACAAATCAGAACACAATACTAGGAAATTATTTCCCTTTCTTATATATCACAGGAACCCTATATCAATAGCTCGCTAAAATATCATGAGACGGATCAACGAAATTCACTTTTCAAGTGCGCACTCATTCTTTTACATTACTAATATAATAAGGTTCCTGATGCATACCAGAGGTACTCTGAGCACTGAGCTCACAAAATGATACCCCGCCTCCCACATGATTATAATGGCAAAGTCCACGTTTTGCTATGGGAGACCCGAAATATGTGTCAGATCAAAAAGTAAAATAGGAGGTGCACAATGGGACTATGAAATAAAGATTTTGTGAAAGTCTCATTAAATTTCATTCAGTGGTATAAGAGGAGTTGAGAATAAGAGATATAGGTACCCCAAAGCGTAACAGACGGATGGACAGACGTACAGACAGACGAACGGACATCCCGATTACTATATGCCCTCCCACTTTTCAAGCGGGGGTATAATAATATATCGACGATATGAATGAAATCCAAACCAAACACGATAGGTAAACCCTCACTATGGTTTGTTGAAGGGAAAAACTGGCTATATATTCTTCCCTAGGGGAGGAAAATCTCACTATGGGAGAAATCTCGCTTTATGACATCCGTACATTATGAAGTGATATAAGCTATCGAAATATAGTACAGTGATATCAAATATTTACTGGTATAAAGATACAAATGTGTGCTGAAGTGATATAGGATACAAATATGTACCGGTAGATAGTGAAGTTTGTTTTGTTTGTTTTGTTTTTTTTTTTATTGTTTAACGTCCTTCTCGAGAATGTTTCACTCATATTGAGACGTCACCACTTGCCGGTGAAAAGCTACAAATTTTGACCTATATTCGGCGCTCAGGGCCATTGAACAGTGAGGGATCTTTTTCGTGACAGCACCTACTGCGACCTCAGTTTATACGGTTTCATCCGAAGGACCGGTCTCCACGTCCCACAGTGGGATTCGAACCCGCTTACTCCGAGACTCTAGAGCGAACGCTCTAACTACTGCGCCACGCGGGCGACAGATAGTGAAGTGATAATATGTACCGGTATATAGTGAAGTTACTAATAGAATGACAAATATGTACCAGTATTTAGTGAAGTTATTCATAGGATGTAAAAAAAATATGTACCGGTATTGAATAGTCAGTCATAGGTATACCAAATATTTAATAAATGGATTCAGACTGCCCTTATAGATTCAGGAATTTTTAATAACCCATTGGATATATACAATCAATGTGCTGGATATTTTCATGGGGACACTAGTGCAGTATACTGAGAATAGATTTAAAACATTCCATCCATTGCAAGTTTTATGTTGCTCAGAAGTTTCCAAATACTGAACCAATGGCCAGCAAGCTCAATAATAGTTTCCTTTAAAAAATTGTTATCGAATTTTTACTGCTATCACTTCAGAACTTGAATAATTGCTAAGATTATTTTAATTCTATTCCTGTTCACAGTAACTAGTCCCCAGAAACTGCTTCCCAAAACATTAAAATTCCGAGGTGCACCTAGCAACTAAAGGTATATCAATTACATTTTATCACACGGCCAGTGTCAAGATTCTAATGTTAAAGCCATCACACACATTCTTAGCATTCCATATCACCTCAAGTGGAAAACAAAACTTAACAGAAAAACAAACAATTGAAGCTGTAAGGTAACTTTATTCTCCTATTTCTTTATAGGTCACATTGTATACTCAAGAAAAGTTTCAACAAATCATTACAAATATAAACATTATAAGTTTCTTTTCAACATTTTAACAATTCTTTTCATGGCATCTTGATCAACAGCATGACAAATCAAAGACACAAAGACCAAAAAAAAAAATACTACATACACAAAAATTAATACACTGGAACTGTAAACTTACATCTCGAAAAAGAAAATTGCAATATGAAATGAATCATGTGGGTATACCCCCACAGGTGGTGGATTAGTGTCAGAATTTTACAGAAACTTACAATAGGTAAAATTGTTCATTTATTCAATGTTTTCTTTCTTACTTTTTTTTTTTTGCTAGTAATCCCTTTCAGTAATAAAGTTTTAAGAATAAAATTGCCTGTAGAGAAAGAAAAAAAATGACACAACCTATTTACTTATACAAATGAAATGTAACATCACATTTATAAACAGGAGCATGTATACTGTTCAACAACCATTGCAAATTTTAAAAAAAAAAAACAAGTTTGCCTCTGCAAACATACAACCTAAAAGTCAAAGGTAAGACAATGCAGGTCTTATCTGGACCAGCCAATACAATTAATAATATACTGTTACTTACGTAAAATTACAAAAACAAGCTTACATACTACTAAAATATCTGTTGTAAAATGAACACAAATTTGGTTAATAATATGCTGGGGTTAAAAATAAAAATTGCTCAATTTCTTGGCAGTGAATAAAATAAAAGGACTGTCAACCTCACCTGTAAAAAAACAAAAGTAAGGCAAAATTTAATAATAATAAAGGTACTGAACAGATCTGGTTCAAAAAATACTGCTCACATTTGGAGAGACAGTTTCCCAAATGTTTGTCAATAACACAAGGGAACCATTTGAGAAATATTAAAATAATGCCAGTCAGTGAATTACAAAGTCCTGTAGTTAAAAAATGGTTTGTCAATTTTGTCTGTCTGCCTCAGGCACAAAAAAAGTATTTTAATTACACAATTATTAAAAAGGCATATATATGCATTGAACACACACACAAAAAAATAAACCATAACAATAATTCAAATAATCAACAAACAATAGATTTTTCTCCCATGTCCACATTAAATAAACAAGCTCATTAAGAACTGCTACACGTTATTTGCATACATTTCAATTGTTTTTTTAAATCCAATTTTGTTTAACAGATATTCATTTTTAAGATTGCTGATTTTTTTTCTCCCCAATTTTGCTAAATATGTTCAACATCAATATTTAAACTACCAATATAAAATGAATGTTACAATTTTTTAAATGTGTTTCAAATACCATTAATGGCATCAAATTTAGCATCAGAAGTCAACATACCTAATTACAACAGAGAAAATATAACAGAATAAAATTATGGATGGATTTCTTTACAATGCATTTCAACAAATAAACTGACAATATTCGTTGTACCTATTTCTAATCCTGTCATTTAATGCATTCAAAATAAACTGCTACTTTGTTATATACAATGAATGTGGAATTCTTAATATAGACATACATCAGTTTATAAAATCACCAGAACGTTTGTTCATGTGAAATTTGGTAAGTAGTATATAAAGCACTTGTACAAGTCGTTTGATCATTGATGAATGTTCAGAATACTGATTGAGAGATTACTTTCCAAGTCTGGCTTACTTTTCCTTGGTTACGTTGTGTGATTATGCTGTGTGTACTGTGTCACAATATGATCTTCAGATCTTTTAAAAAGTGAACACGTGTATGAACACTGGCCTCTGTTTACCCAAGAACACAGTTATGGAACATTTAAACCAAGGACTGACTGACATTCTGCACAATGATGCATTATGGGACTATCAGATGATTATGATGTCACAATACATACTGAGTGTAAATTAAAAGCAATTATATGCCCTATGTTGACGGAACACATCACAACATTCATTATAACTGTGTGCCTCCATCGTCAGTTTAGAGGTCTTTAAGCAGGCACTGATGCTTGCTAGTTTCAGTTTGCATAGATATTCTCTGATTGCAACGATAAGGTTCAAGTCACTAAGGGTGTCTGTTATGGCATTCACTAATGACCCACACTGGTCTCCAGAACTACGAACATCAACTTTGTGATGTCGTCAGCATTGTGTAAAGTTAACAGTGAAATAAAGCTGCCGATCCTATAAAATTGAGACAGGTTTCTCCCCTATGACACGTCATCCTTGTCGGAGTCACTACTACTGCTAATGTTTGTGTGGCTGATCACTTCATCGGACACACTGCTACAACTCCGAGACATTGAGGAATACTGGCTATCTGATGTACTGATGTGCGTTTCAAGAGGGGATGTCACTCCTGGCTCCAAATCAAGATACTCCTGAGAAAAGAGCAGATATTTGCATTGTGTTCACTTCAGAAAATACACGAGTACATAATAAGCAGTCTTAAGTATTTATGTATTATAACTCAAAGTGAAAACTCAATTTCGAAATTTACTTGGCCCTTCAGTGCTACATGTATGCATAATAGGATACTTGGATATTTAGGAGGGGAAGGAGGGGAATTTAAGTTTTGAAAAAAAAATCATTTTTTATATAATTTTCTATATAATTTTGGTGGAGCATGCAGGTTGGTGTAGGGAACACACTACATACATGTATAATCCGAGCCAAGCACTTTCCGGTGTCCTTCATTCTGTCCTCACTCACCTCCCCTCGACATGTCAACATCTTATCTAGGTCTTTGACTAAGGAGAGGAATGTAGGACGTCGAGCGGGCATGTCCGCCCAGCAGTTACCCATCAAATTGTAGATCTCTTTAGAGGCGTAGGGCGGTCGCTCCATCCGATGACCACTCCTCAGTAATTCAAACAGTCTCTCCACAGGAACCGACGGGTAAGGGTTTCCACCCAGTGTGAAGATTTCCCACAGAAGCACTCCATATGACCATCTGTAAAAATACCAAATATGCTGAACACTTTGTTTTCAAATACTTTAAAGGAATTTTTTGTACTCCAAAATTCTTTGATGCAATGAATACTTAATATTTCATTATAAACAATATACTTCCCTCTTAACAAGAAAAATAATCAAGTGGTTAGTTTGTAAACTTACACATCACTTTTTGAGGTATATTTTCTATCAAACAAAGCTTCCGGAGCCATCCATTTCACTGGAAGACGACCCTGTCAAAAAACAAAAGAGGATGTTTCAGAAGTACTTCATCAAAAACCTATAAAACATTGACTCCTGGAGCAGAAGAAAAAAAACATTCCAATCGCATGAGAACATAACAGACTTTGTATACAAGAGTACTTGATGCCACATGTAAATAATTATTGCAATCCAGATTGACATTAGTACAATGTTGGTAAGAATAGGCATCAGTTAAAGATGAAAGCTGCCTTAAATTCTTGGCCACTTGAAAGATGCTTTCCCTAACCATTTTTCAAGTTCCAGGAAATGCATACTTGAACGTAATTGAATTTAGGATGTGTAACACAATTACTCTCAGTATTTGCAATATTTGATTGTCAGTGTGAATAAATTAACGAAATTTCTTCTTACGTCTCCTGTTTTCCTGTAGTAATCAATGTTTGTCACATTTCTTGTTAAGCCGAAATCAGCTATTTTTAGCACATAGTCCTCGGCAACTAGCACATTTCTGGCAGCTAAATCTCTATGTATGCACTGGCGTGAAGATAAGTAGTCCATTCCTCTAGCTATCTGATATGAAAATGAAATTAAATCTTTCTCAGAAAGAGTCTCTTTTGCTGTGTTGTCTTCACCCACAGGTTTTTCGTATCCACTGTTTGGGGGTCTCCTGCTACGAAGGAAATCGCGTAGATTTCCATTGGGAGCATATTCCACAATCACATATAAAGGACCTAAAGAAAAGAAAAGAACACTGTAATTTTTGCACAATTATTCAACAGTATACTAAAATGAGAACATCTTTCAATTATGAATGAACTGGCCTTACCCCCTATAATTGCTATAAAAAATGCATCAAAACTGCTTTATGATCAATCCAACTAGTCTGGGTACATGTATAGCAACAAATCAGTATTTAATATCTTGCAAGTCTTTAAGTCATCTATTTTCCTTTTCTTTAAAAAATTGCACAACAGTTTTACACTGACAATAATACAAACCATTCTGAGTACAGCAGCCCAACAAATTGATGATGTTTTTGTGACTTCCAATAAGCTTCATGACTTCCATCTCTTGAATCAAATCTGTTAACTCTCGATCTGTGGCATCCTCTGTTGAAAAAAATCACAGAAAGTGTCAGTGAAATCCAGAAGTTATAAACCAGCTTACAAATGCACCCAAAAATCACTATAAAAGATCCTAACTCACTGATTGTAAAGTCTGTTTGATCTATTCAATTATTCCTTACCTTTCAACATTTTTACTGCCACTGTAGTAACTCCGTTTTTGCCATTTATACAATGCGCATCACCTTTTATCACGACCCCAAACGCTCCCTCACCTAACGTTTTGCCCATGACAAGTCTGAAATGTATATGTAATTCAGCTTCAAATTCAATTCTCATATTACGGTGGTATACTTAGAGATAATGCTTCATTTTAGAAGGCAAGAACTCACCTTTCCCGACAGAATTCCCAGTTTTTGTCCAGAGGTAGGTCATACTCTGACATAACAGTAAGATCTGAGGACAGACGTCGCCGTTGACTCGTCTGTTCGATACGAACTTGTGGAACAATCAAAGCCTGGCCCTCCTGCCCTATCTTATTGGGGTAGTAAATCTCATTCTGTTGAGAAAAAAAATTTAGATTTATTTTTTGCACATTCTTTATACTTTGAAAATAAAATCTTTGGATGCTTCATAATTTTTTTTTTTTTGGATATATCTGCATTTGATATGTGAATGTTCAGTGTAGACTTTATGCATAAGTATTATTCTTATGCTAGTTGTAAACATATTTCATTAAATTTCATAACACAGAATTGTAAGCAAATACATACTTCCATCTTTACAATATGACCTATAGTTCCTTGTTGTAAAGGCCTGAGTTGCCCCATTACTTACCGGTCTCATGACAATGACCCTCTTGACGTTGGTGAATTTTTTGCCCCTCAGTCTCCACCTCCTCCAGCACACGCCGAAGATGACCAGGACGACAAGAAGGACAGACACACAGACGGTAGTGATGATGATGACCAGGGTCATGTTGTTCCTGGGAGGGGGAACCTTCTGGATGACTTTGGCTGTCTCAGGGACAGGTTCTGGAACAACATTATTGACTTTAAATAATTGTTAACTTTACAAATATACTGGTATGGCAGCCTTGCACCAAAAATTGGGTTTTTTTTCTTTTTTTCTGCAGAACACTTATTGTTTTAGATTAATCAATGATTTTACATTTTAAAAAAAAAATTGTAGAAAAAATGCAGAGAATGTTAATTTCGAAAATAGCACACTGACTCTGAACAATCTGTCCACTTTTTAGTAAAAACAGAAAATAAAAAGAGAGGAAGAAACAAAAAATCAACATAAATGGCTACTTATAAATGCATCATGCAAGTCTACCATCACCAAAACATTTTTAAAAAAATTAACTACTCAAATAATTCTAATTACTTTAAATCAAATGGGGCTTCTGCTTTCATCTTTTTCTTTTCTTATATATTCTTCAATTTATTCCAAAACAGAATATTATACAACAATTATACTACTCAATTAGTTTAAGAAAAGTCTACTTTTTACGTAATCCAACAAAACAAAAAATTTCACATAGATACAGTTGTTCTTGCAGGAAAAAAAATTATTAAGACCAATTATAGAGTGCATTTTGTCCCAAATATAAGCCTTCCCTCATGCAAGATACATATCTCTTTGTAAATATTATTACTCTGGGGTTTTATAAAGCATGTATCTGGTTATGGCAATTGTGAAATTTATGCTGCTATACACACTGATAAAATGAGAATGATTTATTTTTTTTAATTTTGATTGTCTTTGGTTAAATAAGTTCTTGGTAGTCACTCATGCATCATATCACTAGTGTTACAGGTTACTTAGGTGAGATTTCACTAAACACTTACCCGCAAGTGAGACATCTGTGGAATTTGTGCAGTTATCACATTTTGAATCTTCAAAATAAGACATGCAGGAAAACTGGTTGAACTATTGGTTACTGAAATTTCTTCTTTTTTTTTTATTTTATTTTTTTTATATATTAGATGTAGTAACCTACAGTCCACGTGGCTGGAGAGAAATTTATTAAGAGAAAACTGAGAAAAAAAAGGACACCAACAGGTAGAAAAAAAAATCTAGGTGAAGAAATGGGTGATGTTATCATTTGTTAATTAAACAACAACCATGCAGGAGAAATAAAGCTTAGTAAATAAGAACAGACAACATACATTTTTTTTTTCATTTTTAAAAATTTATTTATTGAACTTTTAACTCTCCAAAAATGAACATTTCTTTTGATAAGTTTACATATATGGAGCTCTTTCCGAGATATTTGTGTCTTGTTTTTCTATGTTGCCTGTTCTGTTAAGTTATACAAAAGAATATATAATCACCTTCAACAGTCAGCCAGGCACTTTGGTAAGCACGCCCCATGGAGTTGGTCACCAAGCATGTGTACCAGCCAGCATCCTCGTACGTTACATTTCTGATGTACAGGATTTCTGGGTGAGTGAGGTTGAAGGAGGATTGCTAAAATTAGAAGGCAGAGTATAAATTATTAAGTCTTGATTTTGGTGTCTAATTAAACCTTGTCAATAAGGTCATTTATTTTTGGATTTGTTCTCATGAAGATGATCGTTATCAAGAGGAATTTACATAGAAAGTTCTTGCTATTACTACAAATGATGGAGACACAAGTCTGATAAACTATCTACTTAATTATATACATCTACTAGAACACTGAACATGACTTATATGGCATACAATGACAACACGACCATGCACACTGTCTTCACAAATGTTAACAAATTGGTTTTCACTTCAGGAGACATGCCTCTCATTTCAGTTATTTGGTGAATCCTCCCCCCTCCCCCTTTTTTGTCCATTTTAGTTACACAATCTAAAATCTGATCTCATGCTTCTATAGACAAATCTTTTCCCCCCTCATTTCTTTGTTTTAAGATGGGAACTTTTCCTCTATCAGTCTCTTAATACGTGTACAAGAAAAGCTGACTGCAGTGCCAGTTTCTAAAATTATAATAATTATTTATTTACAGAGTGGATTCCATGCTTATAAGTTTCTGAGGAAAGGACACATTAAACCATGCTGGATTCATCTGGAGTTTCTGTTATTTGTAAACTGAAAGTGGACTTTGATAAACACATCAACATAGCACTGCTGTTATTCTAATGGGGGCATGATCAGAGAGATGCAACACATCTCATACGTTACCTTCCTGCCCTGTTGTAAATTCTTGAAGGATAAACATGAACAACAAAGTTTACAGTTTGTCATACAAGGAGACATGAAGAATTCTGATCTTTGTTTTTATTTTAGTTTAGTTGTACCTTTTGTACCTCTAAATAGATAAGGAGTGAGTCACATTTATTGCCATAAAAAGACATGACGTGGTTTGTGCATGAAAGAAAAACAGTTTGGTGCTTTAAAATATAAAATTTACAAAAAAAAATTAAAAATTGAATTTTTAGTTTTATTGGAGATTATACCTGTATTACATGGACGTATGGTTCTTCATCCTCATTGGTGAATGATCCGTTGACCTGGTAATGTTTCAACCACTGGATGTGAGGTTGAAGGTCACTCATGACCACCTTACACTGAAATTTCACATCGTCCAGATAGGTCACAGTCTGGTTCAGAGGGCCTTGAATCACAGGCTTTGTCAGCACTCGATCTACAATAATGAAGTTATTAATTCAAAAATATTTCAAACAAGAGGCCCACGGGCCTTATAGGTCACCTGAGTATCATGCAATAACTTCGCCACAATGGATTCATGTTTTAAACCAGAGGCCATGAAATTCACAATTTTGAAAGAGGCACACTTGCTCATCATAATTTTACATTTAGTAAGCTTACTTAATACCCAGAAAGAGAGCAGAGGATTATCAAAGAATTAATGCATTTTCACTATGTAATCATTAGAGCTCTGCCCTAACACCAGAACCATGATGCATGGGGCATAAAATTCACAATTTTGGAAGAGGCATCCTTACATATCATAACAATACTCTTAGTTCATCAGCTTAATACCCAGGAGAAAAGAAGAAGATTTTCAAAGAATTATTGCATTTTTACTATGTAATCATTAGAGCCCCACCCTAACACAAGAACCCCTGATCCAGGGGCCATGAAATTCATAATTTTGGAAGAGGCACCTTTACTCATCATAACTATGCATCAGTTTGTTTGTTAAATACCCAGGATCAAAGAAAAAGATTTTTAAAGAAATAATGCATTATCACTATATATTCAACAGAGCCCCACCCTAACACCAGAACCCCTGACCTAGGGGCCATGAATTTCACAATTTTGGAACAGGCACCCTTACATATCATAACTATACTCGTAGTTCATCGGATTATTACCCAGGAGAAAAGGAGAAGATTGTCAAAGAATTATTGCATTTTTACTATGTAATCATTAGAGCCCCGCCCTAAAACCAGAACCCCTGACCAGGGGGCCATGAAATTCACAAGATAGGAAAAGGCACCCTTATTCATCATAACTATGCCTTCAGTTTGTTTGCCCTGGATCAGAGAAGATTTTTAAAAGAAATAATGCATTTTCACTATACATGTATATTCAACAGAACGCTGCCCTAACACCAGAACCTCTGACCCTGGGGCCATGAAATTCACAATTTTGGAAGAGGCACCTTTCATCATCATAACTATGTATTTATTTTGTTTTCATAATATCCAAGAGCACAGAAGAAGCTTTTTAAAGAAATAATGCATTATCACTATATATTCAACAGAGCCCCACCCTAACACCAGAACCCCTGACCCCTGGGCCATGAAATTCACAATTTTGGAAGAGGCACTCTTTCTCATCATAACTATGTACTTAGTTCATCGGCTTAATACCCAGGAGCAGAGGAGAAGGTTTTTGAATAATTAATGCATTTTCACTATATAATCATTAGATACCCGCCCTAACACCAGAACCCCTGACCCAGGGGCCATGAAATTCACAATTATAGAAGAGACACCTTTCCTCATCATAACTATGCATATTGTTTGTTTTCTAAATACTAAAGAGCAGAGGAGAAGATTTTTTAAGAATAATGCTTTTCACTACATATTCAACAGAGCCCAACCCTAGCACCAGAACCCCTGACCCTGGGGCCATAAATTTCACAATTTAGGTAGAGGGCTCAATGCTTATTACATTCATGCCAACAGTTTGCCTGCTTGATGCCCAGGAGTAAAGAAGAAGATTTTTAAAGATTGCATTAATTCTGATGGTTTTAGCCCCACCCCTCAGGCCCCAGGGGGGTAGGGGTCATGAATTTCACAATTTTTACTCCCCTTCACATCTAGATGCTATGTGCCAAATTTGGTTGAAATTGGTTCAGTGGTTCCAGAGAAGAAGCTGAAAATGTTCAAATGTTAACGCACGACGGACGACGCACGCCGACGGATGAAAACAGATAGCAATAGGTCACCTGAGTAAACTCAGGTGACCTAATAAAAATCAAGGCAAAAAGCCCCATTTAAAATGGTTGTAAAGTGCTTTTCCATTCAATGATTTTCAGAGAACTTCTTTATTCAATGTTTTTCGGAGGAAAATTTATCATTCATAATTTTCCCCCCCAAGATCTTTAAAATAAGCTCTGTATGTCACGTTTGTCTTGGAATAATTTCTTTTGTTCCGAAATAAAGACTGCGTCATTCATAATTATCACAGCCACCTCACAATTACTACATCTTTTCTTTTCCCTTTGTTTGTTGAGGACAAGAACAAGAGACACTTAGCAAACAAGAAATTATAAGCTGTCAGACTCGTTTGTTTGAGGCTGGTTATAAATGTAACATTATGTTACAGAATCTGCCAAAAAATCAGTCGACAGGGCATTTAACGCCTCCCAAAGTATCAGCAAGGAGCAACCCCCTAACCACATCTCTGTAATGCCTCACCAGAAATTATCTCGGAAGATATCGCCTGTCTATTGAATACATGTTTATTTAATTCTTATCTTATTTCTTCCCCTAGTTTTATTAGATATTTTGACATTGCTATTAGGCTTATGTACCACACACCAGTATTTTTTCAAAATCTGCTTCATTAATCATTGTTAAGCACTCGGGTCCAAGCATTGATCTCACATATGCTTCTGCAAGGCTTACATCTATAAATATCTTTTGTATGATTTTAAGTAAATCGTGTTTATATAGAGCTGATGCAAACTATGATGAATCATTCCATGTTGAGATGGTCATAATTGCTTGAAATTAGAGGCAAAGCCTAATCAACCTGCCAATGGCCAACATTCCTCCAAAATGTCTGAAACATATTATGACAACAGAATAGTGTAAGATGGGGGGGGGGACAACTGGACATACCTATGACCTTAAGTTCGTATGTATGATTGACAGAGCCATGTTCATTCTCCACAACACACATGTATAACCCCTCATCTTTTTTGGATACAGCATCCACTACCAATGTTGTCTTCCTTCTTACTTTGTACTGAAAAAATAACAAAACAAAAATTAAATATTTAGGAAATGTCAAAATAACTCCTTTTTCAGGTAAAAATTACAATTAAGAGTGCATGACTCTTGTACTTTTGAAGTAATCTATGCCAATCTTGTTGTCGGAATGGTTTCAAACTGAAATTCTTCATGGAGCATGAATTGTTTATGATGTTTTTCAGCATTAATGAAAATCAGACTTTGATTTAAGGAGTGGAAATGTGTGACCATGATTTGAATATCTTTCATCTTAAACCCATTGGGAAAGTGTAAATATACAGTTACAAAAAAACTTAAACAAGACCCATCCTCAAGCATCATTTCCTGGTTTTGCGCTCCAATATCAGTATACATGTAGCACACTCCTTAAATGAGCTTTAATTTGAGCACCAGATCTATGATTTTCTATCTAACTTTTCTTAGTTTTTAAGTTTCTAGATTTTTTTTCTTACTTGAACTTGCATAATAACACCTCTTTACTTATATGAAATTTTGAGCATTTTTTTTTTCTCCTCTGATATCAAAATATAATAAAATTTCACATCTGGTACCGCTGGCTCTCGATTTCCCCTCAGATTATAAAGAGCACTCCTGTAACAGGCCTTAATTTTGACAGATTTTTCATATCAACAAGCCTTTCTGGACATGATTCGATTCACACCACTGACATTGTTCAATTTCATAAAATTAGCTAATTTCTATATCCTCGACTGAACATCCTCCTGAGTTTTCCCGAGCCAGGGATAAATCAGTTAGACGCTCACAAAGCCCTGAAACATTCACAACTTTTTTGGGGGGATTCTTTCTTGGAAGTTTTTTGACCCAGCAGTGCTAAGAAGCAACAAAATAGATTAATTATGAGGTAACAAGTGCACCCTGTGAGGAGGATAATCCTCCCAGACTGAGAGAGATTACTGGTACTGATGTTAACCAGGTGCTACCAGCTTTTATTTTCACTGCTAATGACAGACGTAATGGGCATCACAGAATTATTTAGTAGGCCATGTTGGTCTCTAATATAAAGGACTATAAATTTATAATTGATTAGGGGCATTCTCTAATTTCAGATCTTACATCTGTTTCTCTTTTTAATCCCTGACATGTTAATTTGTGGAAACTTTAATTGGCTAATAAAAAATATACAAAATGTTACAGACTACATTTTATATTATCTGTATCAGTAACAATTAAAGGATGTACTGATATGGGGGGGGGGGGGGGAGGATGTGAATTGAATTGAATCATCTTTTTTATATTTTATTTTTTATCTTTTGTTACTTATCAGGTGAAAAGAGTTTTGTACAAACCTTTCCACTGATGCTGGCATTAATGCCTTGTCCCTTAGCAAACCAAGTGACTTTTGGCTCCGGATTGCCACACACCATGCATTTAAATTCTGCTGAAGCCTGTGAGGGTCGTGCTATCCACTCATTTAGTTGACTTTTGTCTCGAAATTGTGGTGGACCTAAAAGAAAAAAGTATAAATATTTACAAAATATCCCTAAAAATCTAGTGACATTAAAGAAAGGATGTAATATACTGCAGGATGTCTAGAGTTCTCAAATAAATTATGATTTTTTTTTTTTTCAATACCAAGTCAAAAATATTTGATTACATAAAAGGTTAATTCAAATTTTGTAATTAAAAAAAATCAAAAATTAGGTTTCTATGGAGAATTACAATACAGATTAATGCCTAAAATATGAAAAGACTTTTTTTCAGTAACACAAACAGAATAATTCCAGGAAACTTACAGGTATTCAGAATTCAAAAGCTATACGTTGCACTATTAAATTTATTTTTCATCTTTAATACAGAATAATTTAAAAATAAGTAAAATTAAAGCTGAACCACTCAGATTTTAATGGACATTTAAACAAATGTTTTCAAATTACTGTATTTATTTATGCAATTTTTATTTTGATGTTGTGAGGTACAGTATTTCACGATGTTTCAATGAATAGAAGAGCAAAATAGGCATCCCAAAACAATTAATTTTTACCTTTTAAGTTACAAGTTTTTCTACATGCTAATGACGACCAATTGTTTATGCTTTCTTTGAAGTGGTGATATGTTATGAAATTAATGCTAATAAAAAATTAATTAAAGGCCACAAACTGAATACACTTTGATTCACAATGACAAACACATAAATTCTGTAGTTTGTAATAGATGTCCCTCAAGATGTATATATTTACGACATTCATGGAAATTCAAATTTCTCTCATGAATAATTTCTATTTTATCCTTTGCAATAATTGTGCACCATAATTGCAGTGCAAATGGCTGACGAGATGCAAATTTAGATGTGTACATATATAGTGAGTTCTTTAAAAAAAAAAAAAAAAGAATGATCGAAAGAATAAAAAATGTTGGAAAACATTATACGTACTGCAAATGGATAATAGAGTACAAATCCGAACAAAATTATACTTCTAATACAATTCAATTCAATTCAAAAGAAATGTTTTTTGTAAACCAATAACTAATGTACAAATCTCATTTTCAATGTATTCTGTGGCAATGCACATACTATTGGAAAAAAATATTTTCATTTTTATAGAGGGGGAAAAAATCAAATGCAAACAAAAACATTAGATCACCTTTTTTTTTTTTTTTTTGCTTTCAAACTTGAAGAAAAATGTATGGAAATTGAGAAAAACAAGATTATCCATTTTGTGAGAGCTAAGAAAACATAAAATTTTAAAAGCTTAATCCTGTTCTTCCATTGTCTACAACAGAACCTCTTAAAACTTCTTAAGCATATGCTTTATATAAACGAGAACCTTTCCTTCATGACCCGTCATTTCAAATTTGATGGCTTGGCAGCTAACAGGCCTTAATACAGAAAACAGTCCCCTTTTAAAATAAAAAAAAACCTTCAAGAAAATGGAGCTCATTTTCATACTTTGTTCCAGGTCAAATACTAAATTAAAACTCATCATATATGACCCTTTTCTTGGGGTTAAAGAAAAGTGATTCTTAACAGATGTTTCTGATCAAGGTTTACACTTATGTTTGACTTTGGATTGGACATTATTAGGACAGGGTGGCTTAGTAATGAGGCTGATGGGGGATAAACCTGACTGTTTTGTACTAAGTGTGGTAGAACCATTAGCACTGGACCATAGAAGTCATCCTCACACATCTCTCTCTGATGAATCCCCCCTCTTCAGGTGGTCATGCTTTCAAGAACTCTTTCCCTCTGTGTTATTGGGCAATCCTCAAAGCTTTTACAGCCTTACTTATGGCAATATCTGGAGGGTAGATGACAATTCCACAAGTGCAATACTCTTGTAAACTCTTGTCAAAGATACTGGTGTTCGTAAAGATTGTGCCGTTGCCTTTATAATGCACATCCCAGCCCTTGAAACTGACCTGTTGAGAATTGGGCCTCTTACACTTTTTCCCGCCTTTTTGAAATCTGTTTATTATCCTCCAGTGAGGGGGCTTTGTTGGGGTGTCAGTTCAGATAACAGCCATTTCACCTTGGCACAATTCTTTGTGTCAACACATGGGGCGTCATTAGCCAAAGTTCTCAGAAAGAAAAATATATAAACAGGAAGGTGAAAAGGAATATGAATTTTTAAAAAGAAAATATTAACTCGTGTTCAAATCTTTCAAAAGCCCAAAGCTTTACAAAGCATTTAAAAAACTATTATCGCATAATGAATTTTGTTAAAGATTTAATTGCTGGTTTGTTTTTTTCTTTAAAAGATGCAATTTTCTTGTAGCTTATGACATGTGAACAAACAAAGCATTATAAAAGTAAGTTTTTCTTTTGCCACAGGACACAGCAGGCTACCATACCAAACTATGGGGGTTTTAAAGCTGGAGGAATGAGTAAACTAAGAGTTGTCCGGAATAACAAATAAATATTCCTGCCACACACTAGTTATATATTCATACAGTAAGAACAAAAATAAGGTCAGAAACACAAAAGCATTCCCCACTCTAAACAATCACTCAGAGAGAAAGAAATATTGTAAGTATGTAACAAATCTTGGTGAGGCTTCTAAAAACTTACAAGTTTTTGAGATTTGACAAAAATGAAAACCATATGTCAGGATTTCTTTCTTCAAGACTCTGAATTCAATTTGAAATTGGAAATCCAGGATACTCAAACACCAATCCTCGGCTATAAAGTGTCAGACACAGGAAGCTAGGCTCACAAACCAAGCCTCATCATTTAACTTAACAACACAAAAACTTTACATAACTGTCCAACTGATTCCAATTTATACCATTCTGACATTTTATGATTTCATTCTGCAGTGAAGTATGTGCAACATCTTGAATAGATCAAATGTTTCTTTGGTTTTGAAAGGTTTTAAGAAAAATTCATTATTGGATTTGTATTTGGTCAAAAAATAAATATTTACTGAATTTACGTCTTACTTTCAAATTTAGGAGGACGGGAGGCGTCTCCAGCTAAGGAGAACAATATCGTCTCCTGAAAAATCAGTCCACGCACCCAATCAGAATCTCACCTACTACTGGGACTATTGTTGTCAAGTTTTACTGCTTTCTAGTGTCAACACTTGAACTTTTCTTCAACCTTTGAGAATACAATCTATTCAGATCCCAAGAGACACTATTCACTGGGTTTGACAATTGATACAGGTATACCTAAATCAGTCTCTTGTACCAAAATGTCACCATATTCCAAGATGTGCATTCAAAAATATCAATTTAATTCATTAGAAAAAAAAGAAAAAGAAATATTGGGGAAATATGTCATTTCCCAGCAAGTCTAAACAACAAGAACAAAATCTTCCCCCTTGCACCCCAAATTATTTTTAGCAATGAAATCTTACCACTATGCCAAGCTTACCTACTGTCAAAATAGAAATCTTCATTGTTATTAAAACAGTCTGCTTAGTATCCTGAGCCAGACATGATAACAAGTTTTTGATAAATTAAATTATTTTTTGTTAATTTAGGAAGGTTATCTTACCAGGAGTCTTGCAGTCAACAACATTTGGTTCCTCATGTTTTGTTTCTGCAAAACATAATGAAAATGCACTTTATAACTTCAGCACTGTCTTTTGTTTTGTAAACAACAGAGCAACATCTAAACAGAAAGATATAAGGGGATTAAATGCATCTTAGAAACTGTGAACAGTGTCCTCAATAACCCCTCAAACACTATCTTATAATAAATTAATACAATTTGTCATTTTAATAAGGATATCTTCAAAAATTATGGAAATTGTGTTTGAGCGTCCAAATATAACACTGACCACAAATGTTTGATCTCCACATGAATCATATGTATTCTGTTGAGAGAACTAATGAAGCTGAAAATGGATGACTAGACAATCAGTTAAGAGTTCCTGCATTTCTCTTTCCTGCTCAGTGGTCATTAGATTAATTGTAACATTCCCCGTATACCTCAGGTAATGCAAAGAACATTTAAGTTCACCTGACCTAAAGACTGATGTATTTTCTTACGAGTAGAGTACATACCAGTTTTGACGGTAAGCGTGTAATTTTTCCACACCTCCCCGTGCTGGTTTTGTCGGTGGCAGGCGTACTCCCCACTGTCCTCTTCTCTGGGTTTTACTATGAGCAGGTAATTTGGTTTCACTCTTAGTCTACAAGACAAAAAATATATTTAAATTATATATCTGAACTTCAGATAAATATATATATACATGTATATCTGTTGCTTCCTTAATTTATTCAAATATGACACAATATTGTATACACGTTTATTAGTGTAAGCGTAACAAGATTATTACACTAATAAATGTTCCAAAGAGAGAGAAAGACCGAGAAAGAGAGAGAGAGAGATTAGCATCTATCTTAATAATATTTGAAATTTACATTTCCTAGTTGTTTTTTTTTAAGATTTGAGACAAACCTTTTAATATCCTTTCTTTTTATCTTTTCTCCATCCTTGTACCAGGTTATAAATGGTTTTGGATATCCAGGGCCTTTACATCGTAGTCTCAATTTCGAGCCTTCATTTACTTTAATTTTCTCTACTGGTTCGTCATCCGCTTTCAAGGATGGGGCCTCTGAAACAAACATAGATTTCTTTCTTTATATATATATATATATATATATATATATATATATATATATATATATATATATATATATATATATATAAGATCATCAACAAATTTTAAATCTTTTTTTTCCTCCTAATAATTTCCAATCTCCCATCCTCAAAAAATATCTTAAGATATCTTAAAACCTCCTTAATTTATAATATATATATATATATATATATATATATATATATATATATATATATATATATATATATATATATATATATATATATATTTATATTATAATTTTGAAATAATAATTAATTAAGCTATATATTTTTCAAAATGATATAATATTATGTTCGAGTATTCAACAGTGAAAACACTTAAATCGTGACCAAAAAAAAAAATCCCAATGAGTTCTGCCAAAAAACAGAGAAGTGAGACCTTGCAAGTTTTAATGTTTCTGGTCTTTCCGATAATTACATTAATTATTCATGGCACACATTAGCACGCTGCTAATGTTATGGATATAGCATACAAGTATACACAGCACAATCAACTTAGATATATATATCACAGTATTACAATAATTTCAAGTTTAAAGGATAACACACTTTCAAAAAACTAACTTTAATTTGAGCCACTTTTAATTAAATGTGCAAAATGAACATGCACCTGTTTCTGTGCACGCTGTAGATCGAGCTTTAGTTTTTTATGGTTGGGCATGCAGATATGTTCTTTCTTTGCAAGAAACCTCAAAAATGTGGTCTTTAGTTCTAAAGAAGTACAACAGATGAAGTTGATGAGGTTTTAAACTGTGTTTCCATACCAAGCATTCCAGACTAATAAAGAAGACATATCGGGCATGCTTCCTCCCCCAAGGCCCTGTACCACACTCTATCCACAGTTCCCCTCGCCATGGGAGGATTGAGCCATTATAGAGCAATCAACCTCAAAGCTCTTTGTCATCCTGATCAATTCTTATCACTCAATGGAAAAAAGCACATTCCATCAATGTCAAGATAGAATGCACTGAGACACATATGCATTCCAAAGGTTACCTGAAACCTGTGTCAATTCTCAGGTAAAGCACCCGCAAGCCTACCGGACAGTCCAAAATAAAATGGCTATCATTCTCAAATTATTTCCACTGTTGTGTAGTTAATGAAAGCAAATTTCCTCTGTATTTGTAATGGAATGACAGGATACAGGTTTTTAAAATAAGGGTACTTGAATTGAAAAAGTTGATTTGAAAAGAACAGATTCTTAAAAAAAAAAAAGAAGAGGCAAATTTTATCCACACAACAAAAAAAGGTTTGCAATCTCTAATGAAGAAGAATGAATGCAATAAGGATACGGTTGGCAACGTGAAAAAGGCTCATTTACAAAGAAGTTAGTTTTCTCAGATAAGAGGGACGTTTTAATTTTGAGAGTATCCCACGGTACCATGCCATTTAGAATAACAAACAGGCATGAAAAAGTTGACCATAGGCTGGGAAAATTGTAGCCAAACCTTTCATTAAAACCTTATAATTAGAATTAGAAATTCAGAATCTGGAAAACATTTTTGGGCTCAGTTAATCCAAAAACATTAATAATAAATTATTGACTAAAGTCTAAAATTGTTATAAAATCTAGGATTATATTCGTTTTAAGTCTGTGCACGGGTGGCTTTGGGATTATTTACACCAAATACAAAGTCCTATTCATTTTGGCATTACTTTTCAGCAACTAATATCCAAGAACAAAGTCTACGCTACACTTATAGGAAATTATAGGGAAGTGATCATTTACCAGCTATGAAAGAGAACTTGCTAACATTCTGTGCTTGATAGCTATCTTCCTTTGTGAGTTGCACCAGAAATTATCGGCCTCAAGATCTGATGTATATCAAGCCTATTAGATTCAAGGGCTGTAGAAATTCACTACTGTCAATAATTTGCCACATATTTCATTAATTATCTAATCTGCTTTCTTTATTATACTATTCTGTGAGAAACGGGGCACATTTTTTAACAGCACAATTAGACGCAACACCTTCTGATAAATTAATATGTATTGATGCTCTTTTAATATGTTTCTTATAAGACTACCATTTTCTTCATTAACAAAAAAATTAAAGATATATTAAAAACTTACTTCCTGTTGCAGGTGCTGTTGTTGTTGTTGCAGACAAAACAGGCTTGAACACAAAATTCAGAGCGATGATAGATAGAATGGTTACAGTCTGAATGTAGCCCATTTCTTGAAGGGATATTGTCCCATGTGATGTTCTTCTACATTATGTTGCACACTGAAATCCAATACCTATAATCCGATGTTTCCGAGTTGTTTCTGAAAATTAAAAAAGCAACATTTTGTAGAAAAGGTGATCAATTTTATGACATCAAACTTCCATTAGTACTTTTGTGTTCCAAACAGTGACCTCACATTACTGAGGGCATTGGCCACAATGGATTAAACATTTAACCTTAAATGATATTTTCCTATATAGACTGTACATTATACATGTATATTCGATACAGTAGTTCCATAGGTTATCTACCTTTGGTCTGTTCCTATACGTTTATTAAAGTTTTCACCTAAGTGTGAAATTTGACATCCTGCTAGTATATCAACATCTAAAGAGTACTTGTAGATTATAACCCCCTAATAATTTGGCTAATTAGTTTTCATGGCATTGATTTATATCCCGCATGGCAAAAACTTTCAAAGGCGGCGCAACGAAATCTCTGTAATTATTTCAACACGCTTATTTCACAATTAATTTGAATTTTTTGAAAACTGTGACATAATTATTTTGATATATTGCAGACCCCTTACTTGCTGAACACACGGGAACTGCGTCCTCAAGTCACAAATCTTTTCAAATTGACCTCCTGAACTTTAGTTTTCGGGTTAGCAGCGGGTGATACGAAGAAAGAATTCGCTACAAGCTCCAGTTAATCATACTCGTATATTGTTAAGAAATGAAATACAACAGCTTATGATAAAAATTTTCTCAACACATACACCATTCTAGAAATGTGTGAAATAAAATAAAAGCGCACCGGAGATCAACAGGTTTCTTTTGAAGATTAACGCCTGATTAGACGATTAAAATACTTGATCATCTAATCTCTTCTTTTTTTCTTCACAGACAGCCTGTCTCTACTTTATACAAATGAATGCCTATAATTAATGAAACCACTCTGTATGTGCAATAGTCAGAGTAACTTATTAAATTTCGAAAATAGTTTCCAGTCCCCCCTTATCCTGTTATCCGAGTGATTTCATCTTCACCCTTAATTGCAGGTGACGATATACCCAGTGGCTATCGCAAAAACAATTATACAGGATTTCACACGCGTAGAATAGTTTTGCCTGTAACCGTTATGTAATTATCAACATTGTCCGCAGTGATAAGTGGACATCAATCATGATATTCTTGTGACATGTACTTCCTGTCAGAATTTTATCTTTACCTCTGAAAAACCGCCAACTAACTTTATTAATTTTTTTTTTCAAAATAACTTATTTTGAAGGGAAAATAACTTATTTAGAAGGGGGAAAAAAATCCCTGATTAAAACTTTTCAACATCTGAAGCAGGATGCAATATTCAGTAATTTGCCTTTGATTTCAAACTTTTTTAAAATAAAATTTTCAAGTGACAAAATATATATATGGATAAAAACAATACCTCAATTCAGTTTCCTCTTAAACGCTTACCTTCTAAACTTCAGCGTAAGATTTTTTTTTTGGTTTAAATCTGATTCCGGTAGACAGTTAAGTTTTCATAAAAAATTAAATCCAAATTGAAATCATCACTTTTAAAAATCCACGTGAATATACAGAGCGCAAGATGTTAAAACAGCATTCCTTTGCAGTATTTAAAATTAATAAAATCCACACATCTATCTGAAAATTGTTTGTGGGTCCTTACCTCACATCAACACTGACTCTACTACTAGTGAGATTGTTTAGCACGCTGATCTTAGTGTGGCTGTTCAGCGTGTCACGTGACCCCATTCAAAAAATTTGGGAGATCTGGCCAAGTCGCGTGTGCAATATAAATCTTTTTCACATCTCAACTTATTATAATAACTCTGTCAAGCAATTTCCCATGGATATTTTTATTTTTCTTTCAAATACTTCTGTAAAACGGTTTCAAACTTTTCACACTTCGTACTTGCATCTTTTACCTGAAGACAGGTACAGTATAGTAAACCTTTTTAATGATAAGCGACCTTTCACATGCAAATCATGAATTCAATGTCAAGACATTGTAATTATTATCTTTGCCGACTCAAAACATGTCATATTATTAATATTTCGTCAGAACTTTATGCAAATGTGACAAATTCATAAAAATCTGGACATGAACTGCACTTACAAAGATTCATTAAAAAGAAATAATGTATATGCAATAAACATATTTAATAATATTCATTTTTTTTAATAAACATCAAATTAATCAAAGCTCTGCAGATGGTCTTCCTGCTACAAAACTTTTGCTTCATATTTTATTTCATATATCCTTGTCCAGTACCAGCTGAGCTCTTGGGTGTTTACATGCAGTTCTCCGATAATTGTTCAGTTTGTTTTGCAATACAGAGACCCATCCTAACAAGCCTGCTGTACATGCTCCTATAACAGCTGATCCATACCATTCTCCATTACTCCTGTGTCCAGTACTGTACACTCCCTGTGACCTCCTTACATTCTCCTGCTTCATTACACAATCACACTCACCATCACCACATGTTACATGTTTTCTTGTATATGTGTAGGATTATTCTCCTCCTGTACTTACTCTAGGAATTAGAAATAGGTTCAGCTTCTGTTGATGTCAAGCCCTGTATTGATTTGTTTTGTTGTCACTTGTGAAATTTTTCTGTCTTGAGTACTGTAGTAACATCTGATATTTTTATTATCAGCTGTTCTTAATAGGTCACTAATTTGCCTGATAAACTTAACTAACTTCTATCATGCTCATATCAAATTCTGCGCATTTGGCAGCAAGTGTGTACTAATTTATCCCATCACAGCGTAGAGAGCCTCATTTGGATGTAGTGCACACTTGTAAAATTGCCTTGACCACAAAATGTTGTCATTTTCTAAACAGTCAGTCCCTTAACCAATTATACTGAAATGTCAAAGTTATTTTTCAGTCAAAAGGTTAAAAACAAACATTAAATGCTTAATATGCCTTATTTTTCATTCCTAGTTTGAAGACACAAAATTTAAAATCGGTATTCAATTAAATGGGAACCTTTTTTTTTTTGAAAGAGGATCTGAAATTCATCTGTCAGGATACGGAGTTTGGGGAAAAACAAATGATTGTTGGGTGGGCATTGAACACTTGTAAACATCTGCAAATTAAAAATATGAAAACAGACACAACACATCTGTGTAAGCAAAAACATAGACAAAAAGAGAAAAGTATCTGGCTGTAGCATTTTCCCTTCACCTACTTTAAAGAAAATTTAACTATAGGCCCCTCCAACTGAAGTTATATTCTACAACTCAGCTTGCATATCGTGTCATTAATCCTTCTCTTTATCTGTTTGAAAGGTTCTGACAATAATTACAGGGGATCAGGACTCCTCTCCAGGCTTCGCTGTGTACTTTTCCTCATCTCCCTCAATACTTTATGTAAATACAAGGACTTCAGAACCCTCTGGCACTGGAACTTTTTCCTGTTTGCAAATAGAAGCAAGGTGTTCCTCGCCTTCTTTAAGAAAATAAAGAAATAAAAACAGGAACTTAAAAGTATAGAGTCCCTGGATCTTCAACCCTCAGCAAACATCCTTTTTTCCTAAAGGGCATGCCATGTCTTCCCTTCCATGGAAAAAGGTGATGGGGTTCCGACAAAAGCTGGAGAGGAAACAGATGTAGAAAAATACACACCTTGTCAGAATTTGTTCTCTACAAAAAAATTTTTTTCACAAATAAAAACATGCATTCCAAGCTGAAATATGAAATGAGGTTATTTTCATATATACTGAGGTCTAAATTGACATCCACAAAAAAATCATTGTTCAACCACCACATTTATTGTGTTGACTTGCATATAGATAAAATAAGACTTTCATTACCAAAAGATGCTACAACTTTCTCTTAATTGACATGAAAAATGGTTGTTGCTATGCTGCTATATGTGGCGTTAATTTCCCCCCATTTTCCAGTAGACCTGCACATGAATTAAGCATGCCAAACTATAATGTCAATCTCCCCCAGTGGCAGCCCGTCCCTGGGTCATGCTGGCTGCTTTACCTCATCACACCTGGTCAGGTGAGACAAAGTAACCATACTGTGGTCAAAACTACAATAAAATCTTGACACTAACCACACAACACTCCCAACAAACTCAGAATTTGACAACATTTTTTTTTTTGAACTCCCAAGATACCAACTACCTCTAGTATCAGCCACAAACTGCTGTGTATTATTTGGTTTGTTGTACAAAAAAAAATGAGAGATGTTCGTGTATTATGGAAAATAGATTTGGAAATGCATCAGTGAAAATACTTAAAAGACTTGATTTTTAGCCTGTGGTTATTTCAACAAATGCCCAACACAATGCAGACTTTGCCATATTATTAAGATACCTATTGGAGCAGGACTAAAGATTTTAAATCCCCAACTTTAATTTGAAATTTTCAAATAGGGAGAGAAAAATCCAATTTTCTGGATATTTTGAAATGATTCCCCTACTCATGTTATGGACAGTATTGTTTTCTATTGTCAGCTCGGAGGGGTCAAATGAATGTCCAATGTTGATGTAATGATATAACTGGTCATCTAGTGATTACAGTCTAACATAGCATTGAGATTGTCAATATTTTGATGGAAATGAAGCAAGAATATTTAATTAAATATATCAGTTTGAGGATGACACATAGCTAAAAAACATAATTAGTTATCCTTCCCCTCTCCTTTGAAGAATTTCAAAATAAGAGATGAGTTAGAGAGAACAGAAGAAAATCAAAGCGAAGCTTTATACATAATATGTATTCCTCCATTTATTATGTGATCATACATGTATAAAGCCAAACAGTAAGAATATAATCAGGAGCAGACATCTCTCCTGCCCTGTATCAAAACAAACAGTAATGGATAGGGGTGTTCAGTTAGGATTAACTATGGTAGTAATCCCTAATTTATCTTGAGTAAGAAATAATGAATTCCAGCCAGGTAGGAATGTATTGGCCACTGGATATTGTATCTATAGAAATATTACATCTATTTAGGTTTTATCTACTCAAAGCTAAAGTTTGAAAGTTCATAGGAGTCAGAACCGGGGGGGGGGGGGGGGGGGGGGGGGGGGGGGGGAGGGGGGCACTTTTTTTTGCAAAGATACACATAATATAGGCATTGAAAATTGCGGCTTACCTTTTTTTGTTGGTTTAGCCCCCCACCCCCCCACCCCTCTCAATTTGCTTCTGACACCTATGAAGTTCAAAGTTTATTAATTTAAACATGGTTTTCCAACAAATGTGAATTTGTGCAACAAAAATATTAAATGGAATAAAAGTACCAAAAATTAACTGAAATGGAGGACAAGTGAAAAAAAGGTGGTGGGCCTTGAGCAGAAGGGTTCTGGTATACATAAATGTTCCCCCATCCTCCGGCATTCTCTTACACTATTATCTAACTGAGGGGGAAAAAACATATGTGATAATTAATTTTGGCATATTTTTAAAAAATGAAAAAAAAGGCAAAGGAACAAGTACATGAACACTTTATGACTTAAACGTACATAGTAAATGCCAGAAAAACTAAAGAATTCAAATCTCTCAAAAAAACCCGCAGTGCTGGGGAGGATAATTAGATCAGAGTGCAGGCAAAGGTAGATCAGAGGGGGGTCCCTGGAGTCCAGTGTATATGGTAAGTAGACATTAAAGAGAACTCTACAGGATAAAGAACATATCTGATTAACTGTACAAACCAATTGTAAAGAAGATGCAATGCAGGGGTCACTCCAAGTTAACTTGATCTTGATGTGCCAGATAACCACCCACAATAATGCAACTAATATGTCAAATTTTGTAATTGTGTGAATTATATAATGTAATTAGTTGACACTGTACAAGTGATGGGATTTCAGAGTAGGGTCTGTGAGTCATTCCTGTGCGTGTTTATTCAAAATATAGCAGGATCTCATTCCTTTGAAGAATTAAACAAACATTTCTATTATTAAATACAGTGCACAGTGAAAGAAATTTATTTGTAACTTTCATCAGAACTATTGTTCAACAACAATACCTATATCCTGTGTTTGCATCTTTCAGAGTTAAGATTCTATAGCAGTGATAATGTATTTTTAAAAAAATCTTTGACATCTCTTGTTGATAAAACAATATTGACACTTGTTCTATTAATCTTTCAAACAGTTTGGTAATTTTCAATATAAATAGCCCGATGGCATCACAAAAGCAGCCTACTTGTTTATCTGCACCTGAGAGTGTGCTTGTCCTGAAGTACTGACAGACAAACAAATGCCTTCATGTGACCCGCGTCACCTCTAACGGCACAGAATGAAATATCAGATTCATTCCACTACCTTCAAGATATTTTCATTTTGAATAGAGTACCTGGCAACTGCTTTAAAACCCCGAAAATTTAAATAAGGGCTCCTTATGGGGAAATGTGGTCAAAGTATATATACAGTTACTAGATCTATATGGTTCAAAGAAAACAGTCACTGTGATGTATAAATTAACTGAAAGCAAATTTTGAATTCTATTATAAATTTCCATTAAAAAGTATTTAGTTTTGAAAAGAAAGTAGCATACAATCATAATGTGAGCAAATTCAGGATTTACCCAATATATTGCAAATAGCGAAAAATGCATTATCTAATTGAGTCTCAAACGATAAGTTCTAGAAAAAGGGAATATTACGTTGCCATAATTACCATCCTAGGTTTTAAA